CCATCATCATTCTCGGCAAAATCTGTGAAATTTTGAATAGAAGCTGTGAATAATAGATCTTGTTTCTTTTCTACCTAATAACACAGTGAATTGTATCACTGGGTCTTTCAATTTCTTTTACTTGTTAGCTCTTAAATCAAATATACCTTCTTGATATTAGCATTCCGAAGAACATTCCATTAACATTTAATCGCAAACCGATGACTAAATTTTAACTACACGAATCTCAAAAATTGTGTCTCTTGAGATGTGAGTGAGAAAAAAGTTGCAAATTTTTCATTATACTTATTAAAAATGTGACCAATTTCAATTATTATAACAAATTTCCGGTTAGTTTCTGTAACCACATTAGAATTGCGTAGAAGACAATTTTATCTTTCTGCTGGCATTATCTCAAAATGATAAAATGTTGAGATGCTTATTAAATTTAACAATTGAAATAGTGGATTTCTATTCCTGATGTTGTATCGACTGATATTGATAAATGCTTACTATCTTGAATTTTAAATTTTATTTTCTAAATTCGGGATAAACTAAAGAGAGAGAAACCTAAATACTCCCGAAAATTTGCGGCTACTAATTCAACTACGCTATGTCATTCCAGTGACGTTACCCCGAATGATCACTGAAAGCAAACGATTAATTTAAGAAAAATACAAGAGTCGCGAGTTCGAACCCCGCTTCGAGTATGGAATTGTGCTTTTGTGTTGTGGCATGGTAAGGCTCTCTGAACGACTGTTTCATCTTTCAACACCTTTCTGTTCTTCCCTTTCCTTTGTACCCCTCCTAAAAGCGTCATTGGTACCTGAGTGCGGGTAGTGCGAGTTACTTCAACGTTTAAAAGAAACAGAAAAGTGACCGAGATGGTGTATAGTCTATCCCAGACACCTAGGCAGGGAATTCCCATCCCCCCGAAAATATGTAATGTGTACAAACAATAACGGGTCAGATGGGACAGCGACTAGAGAGGAGGGATATCTGAAATACCAAAAACATACGATTAGTCGGAATTGAATTGAATTAATGCCTTATTTTACGTGGCGAGACTGGCCATGAGGCCTGCTCTTCCGTCTGACCACGCAAATTTTGCTACGCTCCTTTCACCAACTAGCAGAGAAAGGAGGTATTTCTTGGGCGAGATACAGGCGATTTGAATGTAGCTCAGAGGCGTCATTTAGGCTTGAGGATCTTTTACATGCAAGTAAATATACTAACATGGGACAGCCGGCTTTACATCCCCTCCGAAGGAAGGCGTACAAAGGATTTTTTCGCCCTTAAAAATACGGCTTCGACCGGGTTTGAACCCACCAACTTGGGTGTAACATTCCGATACGATAACTGTTACACCATCGCCGCGCATGGAGGAGCGGTTGCGCGCCATTTCTTCATTGCGCACGGAATGGAGGTTAATTAAATATATAATATCGTAGCGACCTGTTTTTAAAAGATTTAGAATAAATGGAAGGTAACTGGAATGTTGACAAAGAAAGCTGATACAGAGATGCTGCAAAACTAATGCGTTTATTATGATTAATGGTTACCATCCATTTGACAAAACACTCAATTGCGCACTGAGTATATTGTTTACTGTATATTTTTCGATAAATGTGTAATACGTTCTTCTTAAAATTACAACGAATGTTAGTAGAGTTACTATCAGTGGCGGCTGGTACTCAGACTGGAGGTTGCACCTCCATCGAATGATGAAAATGTAATTTCCTAAATTCAAAATATGAAAATATAATAAAGAAATAAGAAATTTAAATTAATCAAAACCAAGTTAAATGAATCATTACATCATTTTATGCATTGTGACCGAGTCCAGTTGTATTATACATCTCTCACGCACGTGGTTCTGGCTTTGATTTCCACTGTACACTTACGTTCGACTCCAGCACGTCGCAACAAGAACTATTGCTTCGACACATTTCACATAAATAAAATTACTTTATTTCGAAAACATCACTACCCTGGTACATTTTGTGATAAAGATCCTTCCAAACACGCTCATATTCCACCAGCGCTCTCCGTGGTGTAACTGCAGCTTGCTACATATACGGAAAAAGGAACTTCCTTCCAGATCGGTCAACTTTATACAAAGCATTCATCAAGTGTACATTTTCAATCAGTAAATGTAATATCAAATGAAAACAAATTCTCTAAACATCATAAATAATGCATTAAAAGCCGTCAATAACTAGTATACTTTCAATGACAAAACGAAGTTCATGAATTTACGTTGCAGCGAGTTAGAAGAAGATAGAATTTTAGTATTCCCCTGAGACTCCCTCCCCTAAGGAAACTAAAAGCGTAGAGATGGCCCAAAGCATCAACTGGTCACTGCAGTCCCTCTGACTGAGAGTTCGAGTCCCGACAGGGGGCAAGATGTTCGACACTGGCTTGTCAGCTAATTTGAATTCCATCGATGTCTGGAGAATTATAGAGGCTCTGATCGGTAGTTCTCTGTGGTTCCTCCGATCAACACCAGGCGAATGCCGGAACAGTGCCTAACAAACGGGCCATGGACCGCATACGATCTTTCCTACCACTTGTCCTATCCTTACCCCTTACACACAATTAACATGCACTACACTACCACACCATTGACGCTTACAGCTTGTCCTGAACAAAAACAAAAACATGCATTACTAGACTGAAGCCATTAATAGTTGACGCAAACGGAAATAATCATTTAAAGACAATAAGAAATAAAATTATCAAAAACTGCAATTCATACGCTTTAATTCCAGCATCTAATTAAAAATCAATATAATTTCACATAATTTATTATTATAATTTGATTTTTAAATTAATCCTTGAATGAAAAGACTTATTAACACTGTTTGCAACATGAATCTGGCAACTTATTAAATCATTTTCTCTTACACTCTAATAGGAAGTTACATAATGTAATATTCTGAATGTATTCTTAATTATTGTGCATGCATTAATAAAATTTTACCTATATTTTAAAATTATAGTTTACTTAAAAATTTATAATATTCTCAGGAGACTAAAATTGAAAAGTTAAAAATTAAGATTTTTTTTGAGGTGTGGGGGTTACTCAAGATTAATAAAACAATAGAGTACTTGAATACATTAATAGAATTAATCCATCATTTCAATCTGCAAGCCAACCTGATTTTCTTAATTACTGATACATGTGAAGTAGGTTTGGGTTAAATATCATTGATCCTTTCATTAAGGAGCATTACCAGTCTAGATACTACAGAAGAAAGATGCTCTTCAGTTCTTTCATCTGTATAAATAAAATTGGTGTGCCTGCGATTACAGAATAACTGTCTTTTTATAATCACATATGGTCATTTACATAGTACTAAACCCTGTTCAATTGATTTTACTTTCGCCTGTCAATTAGTCTGGAGGTTATCTCCAGACTATCAGGAACACCTAAACCAATTTCAATTCAGTTTTCTCTGAAAGGAAGTGTTGTTGAGCATAACTTAGTAGTGTTGCATAACTGTTGATTTGTGTGAAAAAACAAACATACTTCTTTATACAAGAGAAAATAATAATTTGAAAAAAGTACTACAGAACTTTTAGGTTTGTTTGTTTTTTCACACAAATCAAGTTTTATACCCATCTTAATGAAATTTTGATCACATGATCTTCAAAACAAAAAATGTTACTGCTTGCATGAGATTTTATGGAACTATCCCATCTCCCTATCCTACCAAGTAAATTTAAGAATACATCCAGTTTTTCACAAACATTTCAAAAACATAAATTCACCAAAGTGTATAAATATTTTGGATCCTTTTTAAGCACATTAACTTGGGAATTTTACATTTCCCCATTCACACACAATGCAATATAACATGCTCATATACACAACAACTTTCCTTATTTTCCGTGTGAGGGATTCTCACATAGTACATTAACATGGACAAATTTCCACCCTGCATAAACTGCTCCAATTCCTATAGCATTGGAAACTGATAGTAATGACTGCAAAGACTACTGCATAACTACCTGTTTTTTTTGTATAAATTATTACATGAATCTAGAGCCACATCCAGAGTGCTTCAGTCAGAAATCACAAAAAGGGGAGAGAAAAAAATCAAACTGCTTCAAGAATCATAGCATAATCATTGAAGAGAAAAGTATATTCTTATATTATCTTATCTTTAAAAATCATAATTTCAGAATTTCAAATAATAAAATATTTTCTTATCTTAAATATATTTTAAATCACAGTTATCAACATGAATTTTCATTTACATTGATTTACATCATGTTTTAAAATGGGTATTTTAACAAATTTTAATTCATTTCAGAACTATATGAATAAAATATCTATATACAAATTTAAAAGCAAATACTAAACAAGTTAAAATATTCCACCTTCCTTGATACTTAAAACTCCTGTTCAAAACACAATTTTCAAGTAATGTCATGAATTATACATTATACAAAAAGCTTTTTATCTTAAACCTTAGCTGAAGCTCACCAAAATTCCCTGATATAATTTTGTTCTGAAAATACAAGTTCCAAATATATGTACAAATGACCACATACATGATCTAAATATTAAATAATGCAAATATATAATTAATTTTTGAAAGAATTTAAAATTAGTCATAATAAATTTTTGCATTTTTCACTAAAAACTGATTAATACTACTTAAATTCAGTAATACCCTTTCTCATTGTTCCCTTCAACCATCTACACAATAAAATTTAATGCCAGAGTATTTTAGTTATTTTTAAACATATCACACTATTTACAAACAGTAATATAAAAAAGCATGCGATCATTAATTAATCAAAACAAAATGTTCATATTTCTATTTAGTGCACACAGTTATTATAACATTTTGCAATATGTTGCACCCGATATTTTTAGAATTTAATTTTCTTAAAAATAAACACTGGATATGATATGCTATGAGATGTAGAAATAATAGGCAGGTTTTGACTTTGCTTACTGTATTATTTGCTAGTATTTTGCTAAGATATACGAATTTAGTATTCCTTTTTTAATCTCTTAATTCTTTAACAGAAAGATTTTCCCTATCTTCTGGTTTTTTATAAGGCACTCCTAAAAGATGAAATATTGATTCTTCAGAAGGAGTAAGAAGTGGATGTCCTGTAACAACAAAATTACCATTTCTAACAACTTTATCATACAAACCATGTTCGGACAGATGCATGCCTTTCTTTATAGCATACTGCCTCATTGCAACATTAAAAGTTGCAGATCCTGTGTAATGTATCATTGCTGGAGCGTATTCCTTAAATGGAGCAATGAATATATCTAATCTACGAAATACACTGTCTTGTCCAGGCATTTTGCAAATACCCAGAAACTTATGATGCCTTGATGCTTCAAGGGAAGCAAATTCATCACTAATAAATTTACTACTGGTTAGAGTTTTGAGAAGTTTTTGCATTAAATGTGAGTGATTTTCATTGTGTTCAAAAACAACAATATCAACATCACCACATAGTAATTTTCCTCTTCGATAAGAACCACATATTTCAGTTTTGATTCTGGAATCAATTGACTGTGCTACTTGTGTCACTTTTGCACAAATTTCTTCCACTTCATGACGGGGAATTGGCTTCTGAAAATCATCAAAATATTTAACACCAATTTGCTGCATTCTATTTAAACTGCACCTGGTTTTCACATCTTCTAAAGTTCGATGACCCTGCCGAAACCAACTATCAGCAGTTGCTGGACCTACACCCCAAATTTGGGTAAATAGATCTACTATTTTCATTTTTTCATTGCCAATCAACTCAGCAGTTTTTCTCAAATCTCCTGTTTCAATAATTTCTCCAATTTTTGTAGCCATACGTTCACTAATGCCCTTAATAGATAAGGCTTCTTCATAAGACTTGATTTCTTTTGGATATTTCTGAATTATTGAAATAGCACTAGTATAGTTTCTGGATCGGTATACATCACCCAGGCTTCGATAAGATTTTGCTACTTTACTCAATTCTGCAACAAGTTCCGAGTTTAACGATTTCTGAGTATGCATGGACTGATTCTCATTTTCAATTTCAAGCTCAACTTTGGCTCTTTTGGGAGGAGAGTCCACTGCATTTGTCCCCGATTCATTTCCTTTATCTGTTGGCCTGATATCTTGTTTTGGGGATATCAATAGCTGAAATTCATTTATGGGAACCAACTTTTGATTTTTAATGCATTCACTTAACCATCTTGTACCCACAATTTTCATTGACTCGTCTAATTCTAGAAAATATTTAATTTCTGGATCATCCACTGACAATCCCTCATCATATACTACATGGGTCAAAGCAGATTCACATTGTTCTTTATCACACAAATTTCCTCCATTTTTTGAAATCTGATTCTTGAATAACTGATACCTCTTGGGTCCTATGCATTTTGGAATAATGTGGATAAAACAATCTCTAAAAATATGATTTCCTGACATAATTAATCTAAATATTTTTTTAAGCACTCAAATGAGATCAACTACACAAAAACATTGAGAGTTACACACAAGTTGTTTTGTTCAATCAATCATCTAAATTCTTCTTCCCTTCTTAACGAACAAATGTAACATTTTTGAAAAAAGGTAACTATATATTTTTTTAAATCTTACACCACGGCCATATCCAAGGCCGGTTCGGTTCACTCCAACCATCACTCAATGTTAAAAGACAGGGGAAGTTTGTTTCCTCAGTCACGGACCTGGTGCAGATAGCACAGCTGTTGCATTTTGGCGCGCATTTTCAAAGTAAAGTGCGAAATGGCTGAATGTGGTGCGTGAGGGGAATCCATTAGTATTATCTGCTTTTCTCATGTTTTACTACAAAGAATTGTATTATTTGCAGAAGATGAGAAACTGTTTCGTAAGAGAGTGTTCAACCTCTGGGAGGGTGGCCTTTTATAAGCTAAAAGCATAAGCATAAGCCCTTTCATAAGCATAAAAAAAAAATACGCCAAGATTTAATCGGTAAATTATGTATGAAATATTATAAAAAAGTTAATAAAATTGTATGCACTAATAAAATTAATCAAAAATGCACACTTCGATGAAATTGGTGAGACAAAACCACACTTCTAGATATATTTTAGAGATTTTTTAAGGTAGAAAATTTACAATCTGCCCAATAAATAGGGATCTGTAGACCATTAAATTTCTTGGTTACATACAACAATTTTTAATGAATATGTAACGTGAATACTTTGATGAAAAACAGAGGAAAATAATATAAATGTGTCATTATTTCATAAATTCATAATAGAAATAGGAAAAAAATTAAAAATTTGTCCAGTTTTCTGTTCAAATGTTGATACCTGTTCAATTATTTTATGCCAATTTGTTTAAATTAAAATCTTCACTTACCTTAGATCCTGACTTTTGACCACCATCATTTTGGGTTTCTTCATGAATTGTATCCACAGAGAAACAACAAAAAAGACAACAAAACAACAAAGAAAGTGGAATAGACCAGAAAAGGCTGGAATTTATTAAGAGACAAGGAAGATTCCGTGATGCAACATAAGGTACACTACAATCCAGTATAGTAACTGCAAGATATACTCTGGAAAGCTTTGGAGAAAATTTCATGAAACGTGTAACTGATGATACTGATAGTTGATTGGAATTATAATTTTGTGATTCGATTGAAGAATCCATTATATGGTTTTGGTGAGGCTGAAAAAACTGATGTTTTTAATTTATAATCTTATACATAATATTAAAAATCTGATGTTTTAAAATTTAAATCAGATTAACTTGATTTAAATAATATGTTTAAATATTACATGTTTTTACTTAAAACAAAATTGTAAAGATATATATTTATTCTTAATTACTTTAAAAACAGAAAAAAAAAAATATGAAAACATTAAGTTTTAAATTTATCATTACATTATTGTTTGTTTTAGTTGTTTTTTATCAGATACATACCATACATTTGAGGGGTCTAGTGCAATACCACCCTAACCCACAAAATCTTTAAATTTGAGTACTTATAGTTTCATGTTCTTAAAATACTTCTCAGGCCTTCACATTATTGAATAAGTGGCACCACCTACTAGCATAGTTGAGAAAAAAGGCGTTCTTCATTCAAAAATATTTACTATACTTTTCTGAAATACTACATGAATCAAAAAACCTCTTACTGTTGAATACAACTGATTTCATCAAAAAACTTACAACAGCTTTGACAGTTTTTGAAATATTAAATTCTATTTAATAATTATCCTGTTCTTTCTCAATTAAATGGTATTTTATCAATACACACAAGGGAAAAGGTTAATATTATTAAAATTAGTAAGATTAACTACTGTTTTCATTAGTTTTAACAATATTAATTTTATTCTTTAAGTGAGTATCAATACAATTTCATTTTTATTAATGTTCATCTTCTTTAAGATGTACTTCATGTGGCATCAGCAAACATTTTACTCCGAGTCTAGAAGTGAATACGTTTGAAGCTTTAAACGTGTTTTTCTTGAAACTGGCTCGGTGTGTCTATTGTTCCTAAATTAGTTTTTATCCACAGACAATGAAATGCTAGATAAAAACTATTATATCATCTAAGTCCATCAGTAAATAACTACTACAAGTTGTTTATTATTCATTTCATAAGCATGTTCATTTTAATGTATATTATATTGTATTTTTTTTTCTCGAAATTGTTCAATTATGTGAAAAAGTTTATAAGAAATATATTCTTTATATAAACTGTGTAACTGCATTAAGTCTTTATCTGTATAACTTCCTTTTTCAAATATTTGAAAGTCAAATATTTTCACATATTACAAATAATAAATATTAACTTAAATCATTGATTTTTTTATAAATTATTATTTGATTTAAATTATGATTGAAATCATACCAGCCTTAACTTTTGGTGGCATTTTTTAACCAAAAATAGAATTGTAATTTTGATACATCAGTCATTGGTTCAGTGGCTATTTTGGTAAGTGTTTGTAAACCAAGGAAAATGTATAAATTACACTAGTTTTAAGTTGGGCAAGTTGATTCGCCTTGTAGTTAGTAATAACATACCAGCAAATAAAAAGAGGGAATTTGCATTGTTTACAAAACAAAATCTTTTATGAAATGAAAATTTTTGGAAGATATAACAACTTCAATTTGGCCCGTTTCCCCCAATTTGTAGGCAATCTTCTTTTGGGTTGGGAATATTCTTAACTTTAAAATAAAGTAACCAATTGGCACAGATTTCTTCTGCTTAGTCTGCAATACAAGATTTTTCATTTTCTATAGCTATATTATTGGTTATTGCATATAATGACTATATTTTCACAAAGTCCACAAACATACTACCTTTGTTGAAACCTGCAAATGGGCAGAACAAAATTGAATTGATGATAGAATTTTGACAGTATAAGTAGTAAAATTGGATAAGATCTTTACTGTAACTATCAATAATACTATTACAGGATTTATTTTTCAGGTGATTCATTTACAAATTCATATTTGGCTACATTTCAATTAAAAATCATTAACCTTTTGTAGCACTGAAGTATGTGAAATATCCAAAAAGTATTTTACCTAATTGGGACAGTGCCCTTAATACTTTTAAATTTTAAAAATGATCTTTAGATATTCAGAGTACATTATTTATTACACACAGTTCTTTTAATACACATTCCGAAACAAAAGTTTTTTTTTATTGTTCAGATTCAAAATTGGTTTCATTGTTTATTAATAGATTTCCAGTGCTTGTTAGGCAAGTTTTTCTAAACAAGACAATTATTATTTGATATATATGTTGCTGAAATAAAATATTTGTCTATAATATCATCAAGACTAGCAGCACTTGCAGTTTCAAGGGGAAAAAAGATTTCACTGGCATACTTTGTAATAAGATTTTCTTGGAATGTTCTTTGAGAAGACAAGAGGGCTGGGATTGTAGGAAACACTGTTGATACAATTCCATCTTCTAATGTTGGTGAAGTCAAATTCATTTATATCTTGCCAGTTTTCTCCTCAAAACATACGGCAACTCAAATATCACCACCAGAATGGAAACGTAACTCATACACCTAAGCAAATTAAATTAATTACACTTCATCATACACTAATGAGAGTGTACCTAATCTAGAAATGCAAACAATATTGAATTATATTTGAAAATGAGACATTTTAAATACCTGGGCATTGCAACAACTCAACTCTTCCGTCAATCAATATTGAAGTGATTAAAAATCCACTTGGTATTACAAACTACTGAAAGGAATGAAAACTGCTTCATGATATCAAAAATCTATAGTATTGATATTTCAATTATGGTAAACTGTATTGCAAGGCATTACTTATGAAATTGCAATAAAATAACAAGTTGAACATGACAATATTAATTTATAAATTAATAATATATCATTTAATTACTATCATCCAACAAACTTTACTGTCGATGACAATTCAAGCCAGCAAAAAGGCAGCTCTCTATTTCACTTCTTAGCAATAGCAATTAACGTTTCATATTAGGTCATGGTTTCAATACTATCTTTGAAATTCTTCTTTAATGAGTGTACTTCACAAAACATTTTTATGGAAAAGCAATGTAAAATGAACAATTCTTTAGAAGAATTTGAAAAATGAATAATCTTCTTATATGCACCATTATTTTCAGAATTTCAGAAGCCTGGTTGTCTTACACAAAGTGCAATAGATTAATGTCTAAATCGATAAGAGTTTAGAATGAAAGTATGTTTTTTCTTACATTAGTCTATTCTTCCTTTTCAAATATATTTTCAAAATTATTTTGCACATAATTATCTTATTCATTTATTTGATCATTTAAATGTCTAAGATTGAATTATTGTTGCATTAATGATTCCCAATTTTCATTGTTTATTGAATTGGAGTCCAAGAAACTAATGACATTTAAGTAAATTTTGAAAACACTTTTAATTGTACCCCATGCCGTGTGTGGCTTCAGGAGCGGGAATGGGGTTTTTCAATAATAGTCATTAAACTTTGTCAAACAAACCAACATGCCAAGTTGTAATTTGCTTACAGTCAGTAAGTGGAGCTGAAGTAATTGTGCTTATCATTAAATGCAATTTATACAATATATTAATAAATTATAAGTAAATGGCAGCAGTAATGAAATTATTAACGAAATTTAATATTGAGTCATTACTGCAACTCTCATTGTTTTGCATCCTACTATAGATTGAAAATTAAAATCCATTTTATGTGCAGTGTTTTTAAGTGCAACTACCTCTAGAATGCAACCTTATATCCAGTGATTGTGCTACCACGTATAGTTTGAAACAATACACAAAAGAACAAAAGAAATGTAGCAAACGCACCAGACAAATTTTGAAACAACAATAAATTGTTTTAGAAGGGGGAAATTTGCCAAGTTCGTCAGCAAATACATTAAAAAGTGCCCCAAAACCTTTAAAAATGTGTTTCTCAATACAAGCCTTTTTCTCTTAAAA